TGTACATTCATCGAATACGCCATTCCGGGGAAAGAAGTTTTCAGTACAAAATTTGCAAAAAGAGTTTTAACATGAGAAAGAAATTAACGCAGCATCTAAAATATCATTCCGAGGAACGCCCACATCGGTGCAGACTTTGCAGTAGAAGTTTTAAGACAAAATCATGTTTAGCAAAGCATCGCCAGTATCATTCTGATGAGAAACTATTCCAGTGTGTGAAATGTAATAAAAGTTTCAAGGCAAAATCAACCTTAGTAATTCATCAAATGTGCCATACTGAAGAGAGGCCTTTTCAATGTGGATTATGTGAGAAACGGTTTAAAACGAAATCCGGATTAATGTATCATTGGTCTACTCATTCCAAAGAGCGACCGTTTCAGTGTGAACTTTGTGAAAAACATTTCGTCCAAAAGAGAGATTTATTTATGCATCAGAAGTGCCATTCCGAAAAAAGGCCTTATCAGTTTGACATATGTAAAAAGACGTTCAAAACAAAATACTGTTATTCGATTCATTTACAGTGTCATTCCGAGCAAAGGCCTTTCGAGTGTCTAATTTGCGGGAAAAGTTTTAAGTTAAAATCAACTCTACGAGTGCACAAAAGATGCCACACCGAAGACAGGCCTTACAGGTGCGAAATTTGTAAGAAAGGCTTTAAAGCAAAAGTAAATTTAGTAATGCACCTAAAGACTCATACCAAAGAAAAGCCTTTTCAGTGTGAAATCTGTGAAAAATCATTTAGTTTCAAAAAGAATTTGAAGAATCACATTATAATTCATTCAAAAAAGAAATCTTTTCAATGCGAAATCTGTAAAAATTATTTTTATACCCGAAAAACTTTATTGCACCACAAGAGGTATTTTTCAAAAGAAAGGTCACACCAGTGTAGATTTTGCGAGAAGAGATTCACTACGAAAACATGTTTAGTAAGTAAGAAAAATCCTAATTCAAAGGAAAATCTATTTTGTTGCGAATCGTGCGAAAAAAATTTTGGGATAAATACCATTTCGGTAAATTATCATAACACCGAGAGATTTTTTCAGTGTAAATTCTGTAATAAAAGTTATAGTGCAAAAACTATAGCACAACACCAAAAATTTGGATGCAGAAAGAAAACTTTTCAGTGCACTATATGTAAGCAGAATTTCAGGATGATTTCAAAGTTGAGAAGCCATGAAAAATACTGCAGCAACAAGCCAAATATCCAGTTTTGGGAATCTGGTACCGGAGCCAATCAACTAGGAAACATTCTTGTAAATACTTCACAATATTATCAGTGCAACTTTTGCAGAAACTGTTACTTAAACGAGAAGGATCTTTCGGAGCATCGGAGATGCCATCATTTGCAGAATTCTAGTTCTTCAATATTTATTTTATCACCGCCCCAGCTTAATAATGGTGTTGTTTGGAATGTGCCATATAATATAATTGTTCCTTCCTCGTATTATTATATCATTCAGTGATAAGTTTTGATAGAAAAATTCAAGACGACATTGATTCAATGAATTTTAAAATAAAACCATTCCTATAAATTACTCACATTGGAAGAATCATTTATGCAGTGTTTAATCCAGAGATTTTTTTGGATTCAACATTACAATCGTAAATTATTTTTTGTTTATCTCTTAAAGTATAACCACAAATACCTGATAGATGTTGCTGGACAGACATCATGTGGGCCACTTAGCATCAAAATAATTTAAAAATATATTTACAGAGTTGTTTAGTCTTATGGAAACATTTATTATCTGTTATTCGGGAAAAGTCCTTCCTTCTCCATCATGCTATCTGCTTCCTCTGGTTTCTGGTTATTGCCCAACATATTTTCCACTGAAAAAGGGTTCTTATTAAAGAATTTTAATTCAATTTCTTCCATTTGTCATTGCAAACTTTGTAATCCATCTTATTGTTTAGTATGGAAAATTTCAGTGCCATTTTAAGTAGCCCAAACAAATTCATGGGTATCGGAAAAGGACATTGAATTTACACCAGTTTCTTTTTCGTAAATGCTAGGGTTGAACATGAGGTATGACGACACTGTCCTGATGGGCTCATACTTTTGAAGTCTGAACCATATAAAAGAATTTCGTGCTTGAATGTGGGCTCCAGTACTCTGATAGTACTTAGAAGATGATCCTTTATTTTTCTTTTATCGGGAAGAATAAAGGATCGCCTTCTAACAACTGTAAGTTAAAAAAACCTAATAAAACATTGTCGGGTCCCAGAGCGTTATACAGTCGACCCCCCTATAACGTGGGTTCCTATAACGTAGCGAAAATTGTAGCAGTATTCGTATAAAAGTACTCCTAAAACGTCGTCGCCGACTCGTGTCGCGACAAGATTGGTAGAATCTGGACCAATAGTGGATGAGCAGCCGAACTACTTTCCGCCGTCCTGCGCCACGCTACGGAGAGTTTAGGCGGGTAAATTGAGTTTGCTATCGTCTGTACAGTATTATATATAAATTAGATATTGTACATATAATTATATATAAATTAGGTACTGTATATATAAATTAGATATTGTACATATAATTATATATAAATTAGGTACTGTATATATAATTATATATTAACTTAATTTATTGTAACTTTATTATAAATATATATATATTTTCCGCCGTCTAGCGCCACGCTACGGAGAGTTTAGGCGAACTATCGTCTGTACAGTATGTAAATTAGCTACTGTAAGTCTAATACAGTACTGTAATTTTATAATTTTTACGTTATCTAAAATTTTGTCTTTAGCCATCATGACTTCTACCATGGAGAAGAATTCTAAGAGCAGAAAACGTATATCCTTTGAAGAAAAACTTAAAATTTTGGATCGGTTAAAATCTGGTGAGAAAGTAATGGTCATTGCTAACGATTTAAAATTAAGCGGGTCAACAATTCGAACAATAAAAGATAATGAAAACAAAATAAGGGCTAGAATTTCCTCTGGAGCTTTAGTAAGTTTGAATAAAACTGCTCGTATAAAGGACACTTTAATGCCTAAAATGGAAAAATGTTTGATGTTATGGATAGAAGATTGCATTTCAAAGAATATTCCTTTGAATAGTAATGTGATAATGCAAAAGGCAACAAAGATTTACCAGCATTTAAAAGAGCTTGAATCCGTTTCTTTTAATGAATCACATCGATATGAATTTAAAGCCAGTAGTGGTTGGTTTAGCAGATTTAAGAATCGATTTTCCTTGCGCAATGTCAAAGATGGAGGAGAAAGAGCATCAGCCGACACAAAAGCAGCCGAGAGATTCCGAAAGAATTTTCTCAAAATTGTAGAAGATGGAAATTACACTGCAGATCAGGTATATAACGCCGACGAAACCTCGTTATATTGGAAGAAAATGCCCAGACGCACTTACATCTCGAAAAATATAAAGTCTGATTCAGGATTTAAGGTTTCCAAGGATAGGATCACTTTACTTTTATGTTCAAACGCATCTGGAGATAACGTTATAAAGCCCATGTTAATTCACCGTTCATTAAACCCACGAGCAATGAAAGGAGTTGACAAATCAACTCTTCCTGTTTTCTGGCGAGCGACTAAAAAGGCATGGGTAACACGTGTTTTATTTCGCGATTGGTTATACAATTGCTTTGTGCCGGAAGTGGAAGAGTACTCAAAAAGAAAAAGTATCAGTTTCAAGGCTTTGTTACTGGTCGATAACGCGCCAGGACACATAGATTTAAAACATCCGGCTGTTAAATTAATATTTTTACCTCCCAATACGACATCAATCCTACAACCACAAAACCAGGGAATAATTAAATCATTTAAATCATCGTATGTACGGCACACATTTGAACACATTTTTAAAAATATTGATTGTAATTCAAGCACTACCACAGTAATGGACTTGTGGAAAGATTTTTCAATTTTAAATAGCATTGAAATTATTTCGTTATGTCTGAAGGAACTAAAATGTTCGAATCTGAATGCCAGTTGGGAAAAATTATGGCCTGAAGTTGTTATTAGAGAAGATCGTTTAACTTCCGTGACAACAGAAGTAAATCGTATAATAAGTATTGCCCACACTTTAGGTGGAGAGGGATTCATGGACATGAACGAGGAAGATGTTATTGAATTAATTAATACTAACCAACAGTTAGATGAAGAAGAACTTATGGAACTGGCAGAGTTGTCCGAATCAAGTGGTGAAGAAGACTCATTACAAAATTTCTGTGAGGCAGAGCAACACTTTAATTTAGTAAAGTTAAATGAAGGATTAGAATTGGCAAAAAATCTAGAAGAACTTTTTACGAATAACGATCCATCAACAAAGCGCTCTGAGGAATTTAAGAGAAAATTGAAATATTGTTTAGCTCCATATTTTGACGTAAAAGAAGATTTAGAAAGTACAATAATAAATTGTTGAAAACATAAGAAGATACCCTTTCAAATTATGAAAATAATAGAGAAGAAAGAAGTGAATCTTTAAGCTATGAAATAGCACAACCAACATTTAAAAGAGGATGTTGTTGTATCCTAATTATGGATAGCTCCGACAGTGAATAAACGTAAAATAAAAAGTGTAACTACTACTTTTATTAATTAATGCAAAATGAATAAGAAAACATTTTTCATTTCAATATTTGTTTGTTTTGAAGAGAAATAAAATATATTTTCACTCTTACATATTAAATAATTATTTTGCATCTTTGTTATGTATTTGTATAAGTGTATGTTTATGCATAAGTAAACTGTATGTGAGCCGCTCATTTGCCAAAACGATAAGTTCATAAAAGGAAAGATAGAAAATATGTATTGGTAAATTTTTATATATTTATTGTGAAAAAAAACATTTCTTATTCAACGGCCATAAAAATTATTTATATTAATGATGTCTCCAAAGGTCAAGTTATTTTTCTGCGAAAAATTTGTTATCAGAAATTGCGGCCGCCGTTTCGTGTGCTGTTCCGCGACGAAAACAAGCTTTGAGCAACGGCGTAGTCGAACGGTGCACACTCGGTAAGTAATTCTACAATTTTTTGTTTATAACATAGTTTATACGGATTATTCCCAAAAAATTATGTGTGTTTTGGAAATGTTGAGTCGAATTAGTCTAGAATCGATTAATTTTATGGAAGAAAATCTTTCAAACAGCCGTAGTCCGTAAACTTCACACGTTCCGGGCTGTGATTGGCTCATGTATTTAATGATTCCTACAACGTAAAATTCGAATAACGTGGAACGTATCTAGGGGGTCTACTTTACTTCTCTTGGGTCACTGCCCTACCCTGTCACTTGTGGTCGCTGAACACTGTACTCTTAATCGAAGCGGAACGTTAATGAAACTTTTTTTGTGTGGCTTACAGAATTGTGTTCTCAAAGTTTGATCGATCGATTTTGATTAAACTTTAACATTCTCCGTTAACTGCGACGAAGAATCCACAAATTTAATAAAATAAGATGCACGACTTCGTTTTCGAGATAAAGTGAGGTCAGAGTGACATTCCATGCTTCCTAACGTAGTTCAGAGCGTCTAACGGAATTTAGGGGTCAAAAATGAAAACAACAATGCGCGCGACTTATGAAAAATTGGCGCGAGGATCGTCTCTTTCGGCTTCTGCCATAATTCTGTCGTGTGATGTCCTAGTTCAGGGATGGCGAACCTTTTCGAGTCTACGTGCCACATATTAAGCATACTTTTAAAATGTTTATGCGTGAAGAAGTTTTAGATTTCTAGTAACTATCGATATATTTAAATTTGGCCGAATGACCGAGAGGTCAAAGTGGTAGCTTACCGCTCTTGTGTTCCCGAGATCAATGGTGTCTGTACGGGGAAAACCATTCAACAAAAAAATATAGAAGAAACTAAAATGTCTTCAAAACTTCCGTCAAATACCAAGAACGAACCGTCTTCACTTCGGAGAGAGGACTGTTCTGTTAGAGGCTACGCCTCTTTGCGGAAATACGTAAAACACTTAAAAAGTTTAAGTCTAAACCTTTAAAAAATATATACAGTACAGTACATAATTTGAATTAAAAAAAGCAGACGGTATATTTCACAATACAAAAATATATAAATGTTCGTTTACATTTATTTACTTTAAATATAGGCGCTTCACCTCAAATTAGTAATGGCTTGCCCCTGTAAATCATACTTTTTCTATAACAACAGAATCATGCCGGTCATCCATCGAACACTTTTCAGGGGAATGGTTTAAATTGAAATAACGTGACTCGGTTTAGATCGGAGGTTCCTATATAATCCTTTGGGGCCTCTTATCCCAAAAGTTTCCACACGTAGTCTCCTCTCAAGAATCTAATTCCCTTCTCGAGATTAAGGAAAAACAGATGGATGACAGTGGGAATTTATAGGTCTACGATTGTTTCAAATTGTAGCCGAAAATGTTCGTCTCTGCGAAGTGTTTGTCCTTAGAATTCCCCTAAACAGAGTTTAAAAAATCAGCTCAATTGCTAACAGGAAAAGTATGATCTACAGAGGAAGACCACAACTAAAAGTATTAAAAACATTGTGACGAAAACTTGTAGCTTGGACTGTGACGATGTAACAATAAATAATGGCTCGTTAGGATTAGTTTGGTTTATTTGGTTACGGCAACGCGACACGTTAGCGATCTGCTGAGTAGATGAATCCCGGAAAAACTTTTATGGAAGCGGAACCCTATTTATGTATTACTAACGTGAATAAAACCCGGAAAATTCCACGCGGCCAGCAAGTTGGCAATGCCCAAACCCACGACTAAGAAAATACCGTTCATAAATAAAAAACCCTAGTTCTTAAAGGTGAAAAATTAAAGCTATTCACAGGCTTAAACACTTTTCATTTTACCTTGGCAAGTGCTGTATCAGGCATGGCCAACATACTACCGACGGGCCAGATTTGGCCCGTCTAATGAATTTATGTGGCCCGCGATCAATTTTTCAATATTAGGTACTGAAGTCCGAATAGCTCGATGAAAAATTCTGACGCTTAAAAAAAAAGGATCAACAACTCACTGTGAAAAATGTATCTGTAATCTCTATCTACAATTCAGTCTCTACGGGGTGACACCATAATGAGATCTCGCACCACCTCAAAATCTTCATAGGGCAACCTCTGGTTCGGCCCGGGGGCAAAAACTGTTAGCCACCCCTGTGCTATATGCTACCTGTCTCAGTAATGATATAGCACGTCTATTTCGCGCTATATCATTGTCGCAGTAATTAAATGAATACAATATAGATTTTTCAAGAAACTTCACTGAATTTTATAAACAGCAAACTATATCAAATTTCATAAGTAAAGTGACATCGTCGTTGGTGGAACGTCATTCACGACAACAATAAAATGCAACGAGCTTCTTCGGTAATTGTTAACGAATCAACAATTCAAATTCTATTGTTCTTTGTTTCAGTTAAGACGCCATTTTTTTTCCTACCATTTTCAAAGAAATAACGAGATATTGAAAAAAAAATCAGAAACGCGGTATTTTAGTATAGGAAAGAACATTCAAGAAACAATGGACTTTTAATTGTTTGTTCGTATATATGTGATATAGGTTATATATAATAATACAGTAGAGCGTCGATTATCCGAAAGAAAATCATCCGAAAGAATTCCAGTCGGCAAGTTAAACTTGCCGACTGTGGCGCTGCAATCCTTGGCTATGTCTTGGGCTACTCAAATATTTTACGTTTTTGATACTAAATTAACTTCTAATGTCAAGATGGTATAAATTAATATATTTTTTCGTACATAATCGGTTATCCGAAATATCGATTTACCGAACAACCCGTCCCCAATTGATTCGGATAATCGACGCTCTACTGTATACACAGTATACAGTACATTAGCTCGTGCATCGCGTGCTAGGCGCCTTTCAACTATCGCACCAGCACATGCGTGCCGTTCTGCGTGCCATTAAATAATGATAATTTTCTAGAATATATTTTCAATTATTTATTTTACTATACAATATTTATAACGTGCTAATATATTTTTAATTATTTTATCCGTTGCTATTTTTATTTTGAATTGATAAATGTGGATTGAAAATGCGTTTTAGTTAATAGGAATATTTGACTTAATAACGTAAAAATTGGGTGTTATGTAATCGATTTTACGTTACCAAATTAATCGAATAGCAACGAATTTCCAGTTTTATAGAGAGGATACGAGACAAATGTTAAAACACTCGTAGAAATTAGTCCTGTTGGTCTGTTTGTCCTTTGTCCAACCTGTGGTTTATGTAAATTCGGAAAATTAATTTTTAGAAAATTTACAAACGTATTACGCTGTTGATGGTAGAAAATGCCATGGAAGAACAAACCTACCTTAAGATAAGCTATTATGAAGGCATTCTATAGGCACTTTGCATTACTTGCTAAAAAATTGAATAATTAAATAATTTCTGGATTAAAATCGTCAATTTCTTTACAATATTATTCGAAAATTCTTAAATAATCATTATTTTAATAAAATAGGTCATAATTTTAACCCTAAACACAAAAAAAAATGAAGAAGTTTAAACCGATCTCCTACTCGCCATGCTAGACGTAGCGAACGTCATTATCGATCGTCTAGAATTGCCAGATGGTGGCGCTCGACAGTCCGCCGTTCACGTTTTGGGCTGAATACGACGGCCGCAACCTCTATTAATAATTGCTCTTGTTACCATTACTTTTCTGTTTGAGATTCAAAATGGCAATCGTAGAAATTCACAATGCTTATCGGGTGTGACAAGTCCGATTTTATGAATATCGTCTAATTGAACCAGGATGGTTTGATTATTGGTTGGTTACGGTAACGCCACAGGTGGGCGATCTGCCGAGGAGGATGCTCGTGGGAGGAATTTTATGGGAAACTGGTCCTAGGCGTTACAAACGTGAAGAAAACCCGGAAAACTCCACGTGACCAGCCCATTGGTAAGACGCGAACCTGCGACTAACTACCAGTGTTCAGTGGTTTTATCCACTGGAACACTGGTGGGCGAATCGGAATGACATTGGATGCTTTCTATATGTTGGCATTAAAACTATTTTTACTTTTCTGTTATATATAACAAAGAGAAAGTATGGCGATTGGTCGACCCTGAATACATGGCGATAGAAAAATGACCACCAAAAATTTTTATATTTTTCAACGGCACCTTGAAGCGTCGAGAAATTCAAAAGCGAAAATAAAAATTCAAAAATTTTTTTTGTGTAAGTTTGGATGTCCGTGCCCCACACTATTTTGAAAATTGTCGAAATTTTGCTGTGAAGTTTGGCTATTTGGGGCATTGGTGATTAAATTTTAAGGGGGTGAGACGATAGAGAGGGTCGGAAAATTTTCCTTGTTATTAGCATATACAGTAGACCCCTATAACGCGGGTTCCTATAAAGTAGATTCCTATAACGCGGCGAAAAAATTGCGACAGTATTTGTATAAAGACGCTAAAAGGGACGCGGAAAACGTCATCGCGGACGAGCAGCCGAACTACTTTCCACCGTCCAGCGCCACGCTACGGAGAGTTTAGGCGAGTAAGTTGAGTTTACTATCATCTGTACAGTATGTAAATTAGGTACCATAAGTCTAATGCAGAACTGTAATTTTATACATTTCTTGTGAAAGAAATGTTTCTCATTCAATAGCCATAAAAATTATTTCTATTAATGATGTTTCCAAAGTTCAACGAATTTTTCGCAGAAAAATAACATCAGAAATCACGGCCGCCGTTTGGTGCGCTGCTCCGCGACGAACACAAACTTAAGCAATGGCGACGTCGAACGGTGCACACTCGGTAAGTAATCCTACAATTTTTTGTTTATAGCATAGTTTATACGGATTATTCCCAAAAAATTATACGTATTTTGGAAATGTTAAGTCGAATTAGTCTAAAATCGATTAATTTTATGGAAGAAAACCTTTCAAACAGCCATAGTCCGTAAACTGCACAAGTGTCGGGCTGCGATTGGCTCATGTATTTAAGGGTTCCTACAACGCGAAATTCGTATAACGAGGAACGTATCTACCGCGTTATAGCGGGGTCTACTGTACATTTTTTAAAATAAAACTCATCACTAGTTTTATAATAGTATAAAAAGTCTTTGTAATAAAATTTCATAACAATGTACCACGCAAAATTTATGATTAATAATATAAAAGTTATTTTTTAAATAAAATCTCATAGCAGCCGAGAAAGTTAGGCAATTCGTTTCTAGAATATGGCCGGATGGCCGTGTGGTCAAGGTGCTCTGAGGACCAAGGATTGAATCCGAACGTGTTGAAAAATTCCCAGGAGTTTTACAGGATATGTCGGGTATGTCGGCAAACGTTTCTCACCACCCGGCCGTCCGATTGTGGCGTGGCCGAACCCATAACGGGCTGCTAAAAAGGCTGTTTTAATGCCTATAGGACGGAAAGAGTTAAAAAAAACTCGTCGCTTGATTTTTTGAATCCCGCATTTAGAGGCATTGGTTTAATTAAAGCGAGTATCTCAAAGTGCTTCTAGACAATTAAAAAACGCCGCCATTTAAAAAGAAAAATTTGTTGCGTTAATTGATTAAACGATTCGAACTAAATCCAGAGAGAGTAAGCAATATGGTGAACATATTTACTTAAAACGGTCTCGTTTTCTCGGAAAATCTAAAAACTTGAATTACTACCTAACTGCTTTCTAAAATAAAATAAACGATATTTGTAATATATTTTATTAATTTTTCATAAAGTTTTATTATTATTATCATTATTAACTTTTTAATCTACATATACTCTATGTGTATTTATAATATTAAATCGCTCAGGCCCGCTGCTACTGTCAGAATTAGAAATATGGCTCTACTGTTTAAAAGTTTGGGAACCTCTAACTTGGAGGCTTGTTTAGTGATATTTTCCACAGATTAGGATACAGTATATCCTAATCCGCGGTATTTTAGATCACACTTAGAGGTTTTCTGGAGGTAACGTTTTACCGAAAACTGGCAACACTTGGATGTAGACAGAAAAGGAGTATTTTTGATTGGACAAAAACAAAAGGAGCATCTGCTACTTCAAACTGTTTCTACTTTATCTTTTCTATTCTTATATAAGTTAAATTTAATTATTCAAGTTGGCTGGTAAATATTTTATATTAATTTCGCTACCAATAAACAACATTAATTAACATTTATTTTTATTGATAGTTTTTTAAAGTTTAGATTCGAATTAGGTTCGATTAAGTTACTGAAACACAGCACCTCTGTGGATTGCATTGTTTACTTCTAACTGTGTATGGTGTCTTAACACTACAAATGATTCATTTCAATTATGGACTTCTCAAAGAGTAAGTATTTAAAGTTTATTTAATTATTTAAATAATATTGCAGCTATAATTCACGTGTTTTGGTTAAATTAGCATGGATAATGCTCGTGCCCTTCAGTATTTATGACTATGCTACTCGGTTATTAGCTATTGACAAAAGCATGCTGTTTATGCATTAAATTATTCTTTATAAGTTAAATTTGTAATTTTATATGATTTCTGCACCGAAGTTTATACTCTAAAATGAAATTATTTATTAGAATTTTAAAATAAAATTTTTAAAATTAATGATTAAAATATTCCACGAAATTATCACCAGGTGGCGATACTTATCTTCATGCCAGATTCGTTTAAATATTAATAAATTTATTAGCCCAATTATAAAATTTAAATTCGGAGTTACGTGCATAGCGATTCGAGTGTAGTACTGTAAACTAAAATAATTTTAAATTTTCGGACTTTGTATTTAAGTTTATGCTAGTTTATAAGGAGTCCCAACATGGCGTCAAAATGGCGCCATGTTGGGATGCGCAACTCTTTATAACGTTGATGCGCGACTACTTATAACGTCGGCAACCATTAATATTTCTGCTTGTTTTTATATAACGTCTGTCACAGCTACATTCCGTTTCAAAATTGGGTTAGATTTACCTTAGGTAACGAAAATGGCGGCTCGTCTCTGATTCCAGCAAACAAAAGAAAGAAAACAGTGGGGACGCACGTTCTAAACTAACCTAACCTATTCTAATAATTATGGTAATTTATTAGAATAGGTTAGGTTACGTTAGAATGTGCGTCCCCACTGTTTTCTTTCTTTTGTTTGCTGGAATCAGAAACGAGCTGCCATTTTGGCTACGTAAGGTAAATTTAACCCAAAATTGTAAACATACTCAACTTTTTTCAATAACAAAAATATTAACAGGTTTAATGTAGTTATTATATTAGGATGCTATTTACAAAATCAATTTAAACATTTTCTGAAATTTTTAGAGCTATCTGACAGTTACGAAAAAAATTATCACAGATTTTCAATTTTTGATTGTTTCAAAAGTATAAACACGGGTCCATAAAAAATGATTTGTGATGTCTGAACATTTTGTAGGTTTATTATTTGATTTAATTAATTCAAATACTCTATCAAGCATAAATTTTACTAGTTTTTGAAGTTGTTGTTTAATATTTTCCAAACATTTCTCTCCCACAAAGGCTCACCAGTGGCCAAGTGGTCTTCGTACCCTGAAAACTGTGAGTTTGGTTGTGGGTACGTGCCTCGCTTGGACGGGCTGGCCATGTGGAGTTTTCTGGGTTTTCCCCACGTCTGTAATGCCTAAATAGGGGCCAGTTTTCTTTAAAAAGATGTCCCGGAAGGCATTTCCCTTAGGCAGATAGCCCAAGTGTTGCGTTACCATAGCTAAACAAACAAACAAACTCTCCCACAAAATGGCCTTTTTTGCAATGTTTTAATGACTAAGAACATCTTTTTATATAAAACAAATTTTGGTCAAGGTTTCGGAATCTGGTCAAGACCTCACAAATCAATCAGATATAATAATTCACTACAAATGAGACCGAAAGATATATTTCTAAAAGTTTATTAGTAATACAGGCATACCTCGACTTACGTCGTTTCGAGTTACGTCGTTCCCGATTATACGTCGCTTGTTAAAAAAGTATATGGAAAAATAAAAACTCGACTTACGTCGGTTTCGAGTTACGTCGTTCCCGATTATACGTCGCTTGTTAAAAAAGTATATAAAAAAATAAAAATCAAGTTTAAGTCATTTTATTCGACTTTACGTCTGTCCGCCACAAATACTGAAGTCGTAATATCACTAGATAAACGTTTAAAGCACATAAAATCATATTAAAATATATACAAGTATGTACTGTATTTACAGTACTGTACATGCATTCGTAAATTTAGATTACTTTTTTTGTACTATATTAAAAACTAAAATTTATTTGTTTGTAAGCTTAAAATAGATTTTTATTAACCATATATTATTAAAAATGCGTTAATAAATAAAATACAGAACCGGGAATGGTAATTTACGGTTTAGCCTAGTGATAAGTAAATTCGGAGACAAGTAAATTCGACTTACGTCGTTTTTCGACTTACGTCGTTTTCCTGGAACCAATTATAGAACATTTTCAGCTTGAACAGAGATTCAAATCAAGTACAGATATTGAAAGCTAGCTGTTTCTAACAAAACTGGATGTGTTGCCATGTTTATCCTGAATTATCATTATTAATAAAGCTATCAATTCTATAAAGAGGATTTTTTAATGTTTATTACTTTTTAAATTATGTTTTCCAATGGAAAAACTATTTACCGGTTTACTAATAACCAGTCACTTCACAATTAATCAACGGAGTACATCTGTATTAGTTACAACAATTTTTTTTTTATGTTAAACTTGCCTGTGATCTTTGAATTTGTGTACTTTCACTTTCATCTTCCCATTAATTAAATAACTAGCTCTCTGGAGATCTGTTGTATTGTCATATATGTTATCTTAATAAAAGGTTTTATTCGTATCTAAAAAATACACTATAAGAACGTGGTTGTTGCCAGTTCAAACTTCGCGTTTACAACTAAACATGGCAGGGAATGGTGCTACCACACCATGACACACTACTATAACTGTTTCTTTGTGTATATGCACAGCAGCTTCACAAAGTAACCATATAAGTCAAGAAGGGTAGCAGTAGGCCATGATTTTATAATTATAATGTCTTTGAATGAAATTGAATTATCATCCCAATCTTATGGATCAGGAAGCTTGCATTCATTGTACAGACCTTTATCTACATAATGCGTTTGAGTTTTCAGTTTCAGATGTTTCGGATAGTGATGCTTCATTTTACATTAATAAAGTGAAATTGAGAGATCATGTGCGTAAATGAAAATGTTATGGCTCTTTTGGGTGTATCTTTTGCTTTCACTCTTTTGGGTTTGTTTTGAGCATAGTCAATAATTTCTTTTAATATTTGAAAAGTGATTTGAGCTTTCCTCTCTGAACTCTGATAAGTAATAACCTAGCTCAGAGATGGAGAACCATTTTAATCAGAAGATCATTTCCATTTTAGAAGGATCTAGTAAGACCACATGCTGTGTAGAGATTACATTAGTGTATATATTCAGTATATATTCAAAATTAACATGTTCCAAGAAAACCTTTAACATGCAGCTTAATTTTGCTACCAATTAATGTTTTTGGACAGCTTCACTGACCTTCAGGTTCACAAACAAAAAACTTTATTCAAGATGAAAGTTCTTTTTCTTAACAGAAACTTCTAGAATGCTTATCTTTTAAATCAAATCATTGTAGATTCGATTGCATCAGCTTGTTCTTTGAATTTGCAAATCTTCCACTTTCCATGCCGATGCTAGTTTACATGATTCCTGAAAATTTATGGCTTGCCTGTGCTTGTTGTATTTATTAATATACCACGCTTCTGTATATTTTAGATGCCATATGTTTGAAACTTTTTGTATAAGTTCTGCTTTATCCCAGTCAACCGAAACTTCTGCTGGTTCTTTAATCACGTAATTTGCTAATGCCGTGACTGGTTGTTCATACCTAATATCCCTTTTATGCTCTTTCAACCTTTTGTTAATCGATTTTTTTTGTGGCTATATAATAAAGCTCCTTTTGGTGCCTTTTATCGTGTAATGGTATTCTGTATACCCCTGGAACCAGTTTTTTTGTCTACGGGTATTATTTATTATAAGACATCTGGGTATATATTCAATATCCCAGATGTCTTATAATAAAGATAAATGATGAAAATATCTTGTTATTAGTTTGTACACTTCTTAGTTAATTTATTTGAAAAATGAAGGAACAACTGCTCAAAAATTTATTTCTGTATTATGCCATTTTAGGTTATATTGGGTTATACTAGAAGATGAAAAAGTTTTGCATTTCTGGCCTGACCATTTGAGCTTTTGCTTCAAAATCCTGTTTGTGAAACTAATTTGAATAGATTGTGAGTTTAAAATGGCATTTGATTATGTAAAAAATTGGTAATAAGGATCTATAAACATCTAAAAGCCCAATGTTTTTAATAATAAGACAAGCAGTCACCATAATAACTAAGAATGTTTGTATCTAAAATTAAATATGTCTGGAAGCGAAGGATCAGAGAGGTCTGGGTACTGTAACTGGCAACGCATCTGCAAAGTAAGTGGGAGTTGTGGGATTCAGTTGTGCTCCAGGCCAATTCTTTTATTCCAGAATATTAATATAGTAAATATTAATTTAATTATAATTATTAAATTTAATAAGAGATAGCATCTAATGCCTATTTCTAGTACCAAATTACTTAGAATTTAATTATTAACAGTAGCAGTAAAGTAGTCCAATTCATTACGGTGATCATTTGGCTTATTAGTAATCAGTTATTATAATACAGGGTGATTTAAAATCATTACTTCCATTTTAATTACTGTAATTATGTTCATTATTCGCCAAGAAGTATGATACATACACTAATCAATAGAGTAATCATTCGAGTTAATTCTCCTGTCTTCATTTGAACATCTCCTCATCTACTGCCTCTAGGAAACACCATAAATAGAAATGATGACTCCATCACAAAGAAGGTATTTTGCATTTTCCAGTTTGCAAAGCCAGAATTGTTTGTTGCCATGCAGCACAAGTAATCTGCGGGAGTCATAGACTCGGGGCTGCCAAGAGAGTAGGGCCAATGGATATCCTATGGTGAACATAGGAAGAATTTGAGTATTGGTTGAATGCTTAAACATGTGATGTGAGATGTAAACATTGAGAAATTGTAATGGACAAATGTGAAACTTGGATAATTTCCAGGGCTTCGGAGTCGGAGTCGTGGAGTTTTGATGTTTTAGCCGGAGTCGGAGTCGGATGGTAAGGAAAAGTCAGAGTTGGAGTCGGTAGATTTTTACATGACTTCCACAGTCCTGGCAGGGCTGTTGAGTCGGAGTCGTGGAGTTTTGGTGTTTTAGCCGGAGTCGGAGTTGGATTCGGTAGATTTTTACGCGATTTCACAGCCCTGATAATTTCCCAATATATTAATGTACATTATAATATTTTCTGATAATAATTAACATGATTACACTAATTTAAAATGGTAGAATTCTTTTCGGAAGATATTACAATAATCGAATATTGATTTATATTTAATTTTTTTTCTTCCTGCAGATATTGATGGAACTAAATTTAATGTTCGAAGGAAATCGGATCGGAATAATAACGTTAGCATTAGACGGATGCCCAAATATGAAGATTATAATGGTGTTGGTTTAGAAAACAGACAGTATGATTGTGTTGATGTGGAAGATGAACAAAACAATTTTGTAAACGTAGATGAAGAATACGATTACTACATAAGAGTTGAAGATGATCAATACAATTTCGTCAAAGTGGAAGATGTACAGTATAAGGTCGAAGATGAACGATACAACGTCGTCAATGTTGAAGATGATCAAAATATCATTGAAGAACACTACGACACTGCCAAAATGGAGAATGATCAGGATAATATAGTCCAAGAGGAAGATGAGCCATATGATATCGTATATGATCATCATAGGCTAATTGGATTGGAGGATAAATATAATAGTATTGAAATTGAAGAATATAATAATATTCAAGCCGATGACTTGGTGAGTAAAAGTAATACAACTATTTTTTCAGGCTACAGGCTCATTATCAATTTTCCAGCATATGATGGTCTTGCACCTTGTTTAATTTAGACAGTTACAAGAGGTTTGATTGTAAATTGTACAGGTGGGGGTAAAGCCAAAAACACTAATCTAAAAGGTCCATTTTGTATTCCACAAGAAATTGCTTTGGAAGTCTGACGCCTTTAAAGAATAATAACAGACTTCTAAGAACCCCTGGCAGATGTTACCAGAGCTCATTTAAGGAAATGCAGATGAACTAGGCTAACAGAAGGTCAGCACACTCACAAATGAGATGCAGAGAAGTCTTTCAGCAGATTCATAAAAGTGGCAAAAGACAGAGTGTCCTCCCTCCTTTGAACAAAAATAGCAAATGTCCTATTTTTGGAGGTGATCCATGTGTCACCACTTGTAGGGTAGATGGGTGAATATAGTCTCCCACATCCACACGTCTATCCTACAAGTGATGACACATGGATCAAGTCCATCAAGTACACGTGCAGAATCTTCCAATCTGCATACATCACTTTTCACCACGATGTCGAAATTCATGTAGCTTATAGTGATTGGTCAGATCGTCTAACCAATCTGGTATTAGTAGGGGTGAAGCAGCTTTTTTTTTTTTTTACTTACAAATTCAAAATTGGTTTAGAGGCCACATGTTTGCATTATTGCTGAAGCAAAGTTAACTCCGGTTCCATGTGTAAATGTAAAACAAGGATAATAATCAACAAAGTAATGTTAAGTATGGCTTTTCCCTTTTTGTATAACTTCATAAATGACAGAATTAAAATTAAACTTAGTAGTTAAAATATGAATACTTAATGTAAAATGTTCATTACCATGTTAGGTATTGGTTTTTTTATTTGATTTCACTGTGGAATGAGGTGTTCAGCTGCAAGTGAAGTGCAGAAGTAAGCCGAAATTTAATTTTTTTATTCCCATCACTCATTAAAACTTTAATTCAAAATATTTATTATCTTAGAATTGGAATGAGTAGTAAGTGAAAATGTAAATTTAATGAAAAACTTTTAAAAAGGTTTAAAATGTTTAAAGCTACTAACAAGGATAATGAAGCATTTTGTCCAATTTGTAACCAAACTCTGAGTATTGCTTATAAAGGGAAGACATTGTTAGAGCAACATCTAGAAACAGATCGTCGTAAGAAAAATATTACATTGACTGAAAGTAATGTTCGGATTGAAAAATTTATTGCACTACACAATTCTAAATTAGAGGAGAAGGTTGCTGCTATGAATTAACATTAGCTTACCACACAGCCATACATCATTTCAGCTTTAAATCTGTAGATTGCACAGTAAATTGAACTCCAAAATTTTCAATGACTCGATGGTAGCAACCCAAATTTCTTCTGCCAGAACCAAGACAGAAGCTTTGATTAAAGGTGTTTTGGCACCCTATTCATTAGAAAAGACATTAGAACAGTTAGAAAATATTCCATTCATAGGAATTACAACTGATGGTAGCAATCACAAAGATGCAAAGATATTTCAAGTTAACATTCATTATTTTAATCCACAAAACTATTGGAATTGAATATAAACTTGTCCAGATGAAACTGACAGTCTGATCAGTCTGAAACAAAAAAGCAGCTACCATTAAGGAAGGACTTGTTAACAAATACACTGAGAAAAATTAATTGTTCACAAAAATGTGTTGTTTTTGGGGGAGACAACTGCAACACAAATTTTGGGTCATGCGGACATGTTGGAAAAAATAATGTTTTTGCATTGCTAAGATAAGACATTAAGCATTTAGAAGATAGTGGATGTACAGTGCATATTGTAAATAATTGTATTCAACATGCTGTAGATTCTTTACCCATTGATATTGATAGTGCTGGCTCGAGGCAAATTTTAGGATGGAGCGAGATCTTATTATGGCGCCCGGGAATGGAACCCCGCCAACGCATTCAACCCATGTGCGTCTCAACAGATAAGGCCATTCACATACTGGCCACATGCTTGCAATTAAAATATCGAAAAGTGAAAAAAATATTTTTTTCTTTAATTTTCTTTACCACTGAGGTGCGCCTGGAGCGGCTGCTCCGTTTGCCCTATGGTAGGGCCGGATCTGGATATTGAGAGCATTCTTGTAAAGATTTTTAAACACTTTTCTATTTATACTGTCTGGGTTGAAAAGTTAAAAGAATTTTGTTCTTTTGTTGAAGTTGAATATAAGCAAATTCTTAGTCATTCCAAGATCCGTTGGTTATCCTTATATCCAGTAATTGCACAAATATTAGAAATGTACGAGCCACTAAAAAGTTATTTCTTATCTATTGAGAAGCCTCCAGTTGTGCTTAAATCATTCTTTGAAAACCCATTAAATGAAGCATATCTAATGTTTGTACATTCATTAGCCTACAGTTTTCACCAAAGTTTTTTAAAAATGGAAAAAGAATCTAATTGTGTTATAGAAACAATGTCTATTTTGGAAGAAGTTTCTGATATTTTAAAAGTTAGGTTAGAATCAAATTTTCTCCCATTGACGGTGAATAAAATTCAGAAGAAAAATGCAGAATTGAAGAAAGAATGCCAAAATATAAAAAGAAATTGTTTGATTATGTATCAAACTGGACTGGAATACTTAAATCATTGGACTGTTCAATTTTTGCCATTCAAAGTTTTTAACTGGATGTCACTTACAAAAATCCCTGTCTGGGAGGATGTTATGGAAAGTATTTAATATCTAAATGAAAGGAATATTGCAGTTGATGATTCATAAATCAATATAGTTTATTGAAAAATTATTTAAAAGAAAATTCTAATTTAAATGAAAAATCAGTAAGTGAAAAATGGCTTGGTTTTTTTCAGGCAACAGACAATCTGGAATTACATTCTGAATTGCTTAAAATTTGCCAATACGTGTTTTCAATTCCTGCGCACAATGCCACCACTGAAAGAGTATTTAGTCTGGTGGAATCTCATTGGACAGATGAATGAAACAGAATGGCAATTGAAACAGTAAAAAGTCTGGTTATGGTGAAATTCAACTTTAACAATCATAATTGTTTAGAATTTTATGATGAAATCTTAAGAAAGAAACAATTGCTAAACAGAGTCGACACATCAGAAAAATATGATTTCGTGTTGCTACCTTAAAACAAACAATTAAGTATGTGTTTCATTGGCATTCGTATTTGTAAAGGTTCAATGAAAAATACTTTTTTTTTTAATTTTTGTGTCCTCCTGTGTGTCCTCCCTTTTAACTTTTTCCTACAGGAATTGACCTCCTTTTGCATCTGGTTATTTGGTAACTCTATTTTTAGAGAAACTGGAACGTTTATCACGAGTCTAAAATAGCAGTCCATCTACTGTTTAAGACAAAGGAGTCATGGACATTAATAATTCTAAGCTTGCATAAGATATACAGTATGTAACATTGCTCCATTAGTCAGATTGTTTATCCACCCAGCTTTAAATAAATATAGGGCTTCTCTGATAAACCTAGACTATCTAGAACCCATTGCGTCAATGCTATAGCAATTTGTTTATTCTTCTGTGTAGAGTCTACTCCCTAACATGCTGCCAAAGCATTCTCTATATTGATCCTATGTAGTAAAACTCTTTTCCTTAGTAAATTTGATATTATATATAACTGTCATATCCATTTATTTTACCTGTGATTCCCTCCATCCTGCAACAAAGAGAAGCTTAATAATAGTAAATATGCTGTGGTATTCAGCGTTAGTACAACATTTCTCTTCCTAAGTAAGGTCTACGGACCAGTTTTGAAACTAAGGAGATATCTAGTAATGTGTGTTTATTTTCCTCACAATGTATTGATATCACAAATTTTGTTTTAAGATATTAGTTAATTTTGATACAGTTAAAAATGCATACGAGCCACTTCCCTTGCAAAGCCTGTTCAACGTGAGTGTGTATGTCTGCGTATATACAGGGTGTTCATAATTAAAGTTCACTTGGGAATGGGTTGGAATGTGACGTTGAGTTATAATTATCTGATCTCTCACTCAGTCCAGCAAAACCATCAATGTGACAAGGCTTTGGAACCAAGCATACTAGAAAATTGATCAGCCTGTTTTATGATTCTTAGTTATAAAATTATATTAAAGTATAATATAGGATTTTATCAAATACAATAAATTATTATGTTGTAGACACACACATACATCCTCTCTAGAGTCTACCAAGACTTGAAGATTGCAAGTCCAGCAATCTGGAAATCTTGGGGAATACCAGAGATTTGGTTTTAATAAAATTTAGAATATAAATGTTTTATTTTTTTATTAAAGAATATTCATTTTTGTAATACACTGTAAATCCGATATCACACGTGTGTACCAAATTTTTAGACCCCATCATATTATAATTAAGTTTGAATTATACTACATATTTTGCTCCATTGATAAGGAAGATGTGATGATCTCTATTCTATAGAATTTTTGCATGCTGGAAGAAATAATTTTGTAGAAATAAAAGATTTGTATTCAAATTTGAGAGATAAAGTGGGAGTTGAGTTAACTTTTTACTGCATGATTTATAATCTTGCATTGTTTACTATCCAACTAATTCTCATATGATTGTTTTCATTAGTTAAAACAGTGGTTCTCAACCTTTGAGACCATGGAACACCATTCACATACTGAAAATTACTCATTACACAGGGACATTGCTATCAATATATTCAAAAATTGACAAGAAATTTCATGTTTACTATTTTCACAAAATACATGAAGCAATAAACTTGTATTGAATAAATTAGAAACATGTAATTATCTACAAATAACGCAATCTGTAGTTCATTAGAATAATTTTCAATAAAAACTTTAAAATCTGTTTTCATGGAACACTAGGCAAGTTTGCAAAATGTGTATTCTACAGAACATCAGTTGAGAACCACTGAGCTAAGATTAAAGAGGTTGTACTAAGCTAAGGGCAAAAAACATATAATAATGTATCCTATGAACCAATGACCAGTGTGCGACAAAAAACAAA